CCCCCGGCTACCCTTTGTGTCCACGCCGTAGTGGTACTTCCAAGCAAACGTAACTCACAGCAGTGTCACTGATATCATAACCAGGCATAGTCTAATCGGGTATTTGTGTAGAAATACTCCTTTTAAGGGTCAGACGAGTGCCCATTTTCAAGCATGAAAATCGGCACGGGGGTATAGGTAAGGACTGCACCTCGACAGTGTAATGGACATGTTCACACACAAAACGATACCTAGGACGTAAGCAACGGTGTCTCCAGCGGCTACCTTCTTGCAATCATCTAAAACCCCACCATTCACTGCCGCTGAGGATGCTTCATGGCGATTGCTCATGTGTCACGAGTTGGGGCCCAGGATGAGGCTGGCCCGTAAACTCGGGTAGCTAAACGCCCGCTGCAAAGCTCTACGCTTAGCAGTGATGCCAAGTGTGTACAACTGGATAGACCCATGTCGACGATGGTATGCGGGTCAGTAGCCAAGAACATTTGCTCACTATTACGGTTGGTCTGGTCCCCGTCGTCATGGCAGCCTGGTACATTCTTCACTGCCAGATTAGATTCGCCACCCGTGCTGACAATGATGCCAGAGTACCGGTGTCGAAGCTCCGATCCTGTTCGAGTTGGAACATCTATCCACAACTCTTCTCGACCTGCTACGTTTTCTATACGTATGGTTTGTTGGTGATGGTGGCCGACATAGACACCCCACCTTAGCTCGCAACAGAAGCCTTTCTCAGACTGACAGCTTGGTGTAGCTTGTAAAGTAGTCTTTCCTGAAGTGTTTAGCAATTACATAATATGATTATAGATCGCAGTTTCCGTTGAGCACCTCTTCGTCAAGCAGCACCTGGCTTGGGCATCTAAAACTCAGTTGCTACTACGAAATGGTAGTGCTGTTAGCTGGTAATCTTTAGGATGCCAGTGTTGATGCACCTGCATTCGTAGATTACAGTAAACAGCAATCGCGATGAAGACACGAGTACGAATCTCTACAACCTTCATGCGTTCTTTGATGTATAAAGTCTGCCACGCATCAATTTAAAAAAAACAAAATAATAATTTGTAGGACGACAACGACTCTCCCGACGAGCCCTGTCATCATATTGATATGGCCACACGCATGAATGAATCGGTTCTTGGTAGCACATGACACTAAGTATCAAATACGGACAAACAGCAACGGAGACGAACAAGGCGCAAAGAAAAATATTCACTTTTACAAAACAAGAAGCGATGTCGGTTGAGTGAACTTTGAGAACCCCTCGATGCATGTTTGTCTACCTGCAGATTCGACTAGCAGAGTGCGTCTGCTGTTGACCTTGCCTTTACTTTACCATGAACCATACCATTGAGAGAGGCTTGAGCTCGTTCAATCAAACGATGAGATGCTGTCGTGGCCGCACGGTATTTGCGATATTTGTGGGCATACCGGTGTCACCAGATTATGGTTAGGATCAAGTTTGTTGAAGTGTCGACTCGATGAGTCCGAGCTGTACGCGAACCAATGCTGGTGGTGGAGATTGCGAGGTGCGTCTATCAACGACGGTGAGACTTGCAGCAAGGAGACTGATTGGAGTCGGTGCACGCTGCACTGACAGTCAGTGGATATTGACATACGTCCTACAACTACATGACCACGACCATGATGGACTATATAAGGGGTGCCGTAGTGAAGAGGTTGACCTGCATGTTAGCTCTTTTTACCTTTGCGATCACGTTTGCTCTGCTCATCAATAATCTTACAACCCCGGGTAACGCGACAACCTGCCTTGCTACTTCGATACCACCATACCAGCGAATTACGCTGAGTAGGAAGACAGTTGAAGGGTGATCAACCATGAGTGGCCATAACGCATTAGGATCGACAGCTAACACGCCATACATACGTTCACAGTTTACCTAGTACCCTTTTGAAATTTTCAGCCAATTTCCATACATTTCTGTTTGCAGTACCCTTTTTTCAAAAAGGTCTCCAAAACTACCCATTTTAGCTCAAAAGGGTACTGTTTCCAAAATGCCCAAACATCCGGTGCCTGATGTATTCTCAAAAAAAAAAAAGCAGACTTGCAATTGTAGTTTTTTTTTTTTACCTTATGTGAAGAGAACGACTTTGCACGTTACATGCGATGTTTAGATAGCGCGTCTATCCATATCATAAGACTTGATATATTAGAGCTAATGTGGTAGTACTGCCTAACCAGTAGTATCACAAGCGCAATCCAGAACGACCGGTGCACAATCTGATTTGAGCATGTAGCCGTGAGAATACGATGCAACGCCACTTTACTCAACAACTGGCTGCTGCAATGTGAAAGTTGCGTATGCATTACACCCTCCGCCGCAGCCTGCACTCTCCCGGTTACTCAGTGAAGTCCAATAGAGTAGCCTCATTTCCGATTTAACAGAGTGAAGGGACTGTCGCCATGGCTGCGTCAAGAAATCGCACAGTACGCACACAAGGTGACGAAGTTGAGGATGCTCGCTCGCGTTGGGATGCGTTATTTGTAGCCGACGATGTTAGGTCTTGAGCTCTGAATAGGGTCGAGATTGCAGCAGACCGAGACGGCGATTCTGACGCTGAGTTTTCGACTGCTTCTCCCGTATATGAGCGCTGTCTACGCGTACAAGGTCCCGATCGTGTGCTTAGAATGTGCAACTTCGCACCCATTGAGTTTGAACGGCTATGGGAGCTCTCGAAAGATCATGTCTTATCTAAATGGGGCGTGGGAAGAGGCAAGAAGTACAAGATATCCCCAAAGGACATGCTTTTCATGATGCTAGCTGCGCTGAAGCATTGTGGAAACTGGGAAACAGTGTCATCAATGTTTGGCATGGATGCCTCGGCATTTCAGAAGACGATAAAGAAGTACATGGACATGTACGAACCCTTCTTGTACACGCACCTAGTCAAAGGACAGGAGGCACTCTGGAGCATGAAGAAGATAACGGTTACTTGGCACGCCTTTGCGAACTACCCGTGCGCTCGATACGCAACTGACGTCACGTTCCAACCCACTAGAAACTTTCACGAGGTGATGGAGTATTTTAGCGGAAAACACAGACTGTACGGTCATAAAGTAAAGGTTTCAGTGCTCCCGCTTATCGTTGGACTACTCCATGAAGATCCTTCTCACCACCTCACGGTTCGCGAAGCGAGTAAGACCTCCAAGTGGGTATTGAGCCCGAACAGCGGCGAGTTCGGCTGGCAGGTCTGCTTCCCGAGCGAAGAACCATCATTCTACTTCCATCCTTTCACACGCGCAGAGTTCGAAGATATACTCCAGCTGTGCGACGAGACGCTTGCAGCAGACCCACCGCATATCGAAGTCGCTGGCTCGCTGTTAGGCTGGACAGTTCACCGAGCGTCACTCACACGAAGAGTCGAAGATGGCTCGATCATCTCCCACACGAGGTTTACGATGCGTGTAGCCTGCTCGCTGGAAGAACTGGACTCCGTGATCGTCTCGTCCAGTCTCGATTCATGGCCGCTAATATGGACACCACCGAGCTGGGGATACAAGGAGCGCAAGCAAGTATGTTGTCAGGTGTTGCAAGAGTTCGAAACGGATGCGTACGTCCTTGTCCACGACATCCCTGGGCCCATACGCTCCCGTTACATCAGTTTAGCACGACGACTACCCAGACAAGACAGCGGGAAGCGGTCTATCACGTACGTTATGGTGATCGCGGATTCGGAAGCCAAGTCGAAAAAGTGCACTACAGACCAGGAGAATGGTAATGTTAAGTGGGTCAATGAAGGTGGCAGCTACATCAAATTCACGGAAGTGAACTCAAACTTAATCGATGTGCGCTACGACCGCTGGGCCAGTTGCCAAGATGAGCTCCACGCGCAGCATCTTTTCGTCCGTTGGGCTGAGTTTGCGAACGAGTGGGCGC